CTTTGCTGGGCCTCCTCTCCTCTGAACTCTCAATATTGGAGTTTCCCCAGGGTCCAGCCCTAAGTGACCTCACCCAGTCTCCTGGCTTTAAATACTATCTGTGTGTTGATGACCAAATTATGTCTCTAGCCCTGACCTCTCCCCTGAACTCCAGACTTTTATAGCCAACTTCCCATCTCCATTTGAATTTCTATCAAGCATTGCACGGTTGAACTGATGTCTCCACCCACCCTCAGAAAACAAACAAAAAGCCAACCTGCTTCTCCCACAGTTTTCCCCCGTCTCGGCTAATGCCAATTCCATCTACCCAGTTGCTCAGCACAGAAACTTCGGAATCATCCTTGACTCTTCCTCTCATGCCCTCATCCAGTCCATAGCCAATCCTGTTGACTCTACCTTCAGTATATATCCAGAATCTGACCACTACCTACCACCCCACCAGCAGCATCCCAGTCCAAGCTACCATCATCTCTTGCCTAAATTATTGTAGTAATCTAACCAGTCTCTGTCCTTCTACCATTACCTCCACCCTTGAGTCTCTCTGAATACAGCAGCCAAAGTGAGCGTGTTAAAATATAAATTAGATCATGCCTCTCTTCTATTCAGAACTCCCGAGCAGCTCCTTCTGTCACTTAGTAAAAGCCAAAATGCTTACCGCAGCCTCCCGGCCTTGTGCGATCTAGTCACCATTTATCTTTCTGAAGTCATCTCCTATTACTCCTTATTTTCTCCCCTTCCCACCACATTGGCCTCCTTGTTGCCTCTCTAACACCCCAGACGTGCCCTCCTCACTTCCCTCACATCTCTACTCACAGGTCATCTTCTTCGTGAGGTCTTCTCTAACTACCCTAAAAAATATTTCAGCATCCTCCAGACACTCCCTATATCTTTGCCCTGCTTTTATTTTCTCCAGAGCACTCACTGCCTTTTTCATATTTGGTATAATTCACTTATTTATTTTATTTGTCTGCTCCTCCCTTGCAACTAGAATTTCAGCTCCATGGGAGCAGGGACTTTTGTCTGTTCGGTTCACTGCTGTATTCTGAGTGTCTGGCACATAGTAGGTACTCAATAAAAATTTGAATATGTGGGCTGGGCGCTGTGGCTCACGCCTGTAATCCTAGCTCTCTGGGAGGCCGAGGCGGGCGGATTGTTTGAGCTCAGGAGTTCGAAACCAGCCTGAGCAAGAGCGAGACCCTGTGTCTACTAAAATTAGAAAGAAATTAATTGGACAACTAAAAATATATAGAAAAAATTAGCCGGGCATGGTGGCGCATGCCTATAGTCCCAGCTACTCGGGAGGCTGAGGCAGGAGGATTGCTTGAGCCCAGGAGTTTGAGGTTGCTGTGAGCTCGGCTGACGCCACGGCACTCTAGCCCGGGCAATAGAGTGAGACTGTCTCAAAAAAAAAAAAATTTTGAATATGTGAAAAGTCTTCAGAGGGTATAATGGGAGCTAATGGGAGTATAAAAAAAGAGCTAAGGAGGGTAGTCGGTATGATTGAGGTGAATAATGCTTTTAATGCTGGAAAAGTTGTCTTGAAGGGCCTTATATGTCATTCTAAGGTGCTTGGATTTCATCCTATAGGTGGTAGAAAGTCAACAGAGTCAGTGGTCTAAACTGGAATCTTAGCAGTGCATTCTGGCTGCAGTGTGAAGGATGAATTGGGAAGGAAAAGAGTGGATGCAGGAGGCCAGTAAGAGACTGTTGCAGTAACCCATGCATGAGATGATGGTACCCTGAACTAAGGGAGTGGCTGTGGGGATGGGGAGGAGGGGCTAAATCTGAGAAATACTCTATTTAGAAGATGGAATTAATAAGATTTGGTGATCGCTTGGATGGGGCCATAGGGGTGAGCAAAATGAAGCAATCTCAGGTTTCTGGCTTGGGGCAGCTGGTTGAACAATGGGGCTATTTTACTGAGATAAGAAATACAGAGGAAAGAATAAATTTGACAGGGGCAAGGAGAAAGGCAGCAGTGGATTCTAGATGTGTCAAGTTTTTGGTACCTGTAGATTTCCAGTAGGTAGTTGAGTGCATGATTTTGGAGGTCAGAGGAAGGTCAGGGCCGAAGGTAAAGATTTGGGTGTTTAAAGCCATAGCTATGGTAGAATTTCCTAGAAAGGGTGTATAAATTGAGAAGGAAAAAGAGTTACCAGTTATCAGTGCCAAATATTGCCCTAAAAATCTAATAAGAAAATAGCCCGAAAGTATCCATTGTATTTGGCGATTAGGAGGTCAGTAATTTGGCCGGGCGCGGTGGCTCACACCTATAATCCTAGCACTCTGGGAGGCCGAGGCGGGTGGATTGTTTGAGCTCAGGAGTTCGAAACCAGCCTGAGCAAGAGCGAGACCCAGTCTCTACTAAAAATAGAAAAAAATTAATTGGACAACTAAAAATATATAGAAAAAATTAGCTGGGCATGGTTGCGCGTGCCTGTAGTCCCAGCTACTTGGGAGGCTGAGGCAGGAGGGTCGCTTGAGCCCAGGAGTTTGAGGTTGCTGTGAGCTAGGATGATGCCACGGCACTCTAGCCCGGGCAACACAGTGAGACTGTGTCTCAAAAAAAAAAAAGAAAGGAGGTCAGTAATTGAACATTTCATTTATTCAAGTTTTTATTGAATATCTGCCGTGTGCTAAGGTTACTGAGGATACAGCAATGAACCAAACAGACAAAAAAAAATCCCTCTTTCTATGGAGCTGAAATTCTAGTTGTAGGGGAGAAGTAAACAAATAAAGAAAATAGATAAGTAAATTATACCAAATATTGAAAGGCAGTTGTGTGCTCTGAAGAAAAGGAAAGCAGGGAAAAGACAGAGGTCTGGCCAGAATCAGTTGAATGGAGAAACGGTGACGGCTGCCAGATTGCAATGAATGTGCAGAGCCCTGAGTGGAGGGGTTAGGAAGTGGAGTCAGCCAGAATAGACAACCGTTTCAGGAAGCACAAATGAAAAGGGAATAAGATGACATTCAGTAGGGAAATGGATAAACAAACTGTGGTAGATCCACAAAACGGAATACTCCTCAGCAATAAAAAGCAACAAACTATTGCTGAACACAACAACAGGGATGAACCTCAGAGGCATTACGCTGAGTGAGAACAGCCAGTCTCAAAAGGTCCTGCGTCCATTTGTATGACATCCTCAAAAGATATAGGGGTGGAGAACAGATCAGGGGGTGCCTGGGGTATGGATGGGGCAGGCCTTTAGTATAAGGGGGCAGCCGTGAGAATTTGTGGGGTGTGAGGATGGAACAGTTCTAGATTCTGACTGTCGTTGTGGTCACACAGACCCATACATGTGTTCAAGCTCCTAGAACTTTACACCGAAACAAGGTAACTGTACCGTATGTTAATTTGGGAATGAGAGATTGGAAAGTATCTGAGGGGCAAAGTTAGGATGGGAAGAAGGAGTTGCTTTGGAGATGGGAGGGATTTGAGCTTATTGGTTTGCTAAGGGGGAAAGGCAGTTCTCCTGGGAAAGGTGCCCAAGAGGAGTTCAAAGGTGTGAGGTGCAGGGCAAGGCTGGGAAGAAAAGACATGTGCAAAGAAGCAAAAACTGAGGCCCTGTATAATCTCTGTTTGCCCCCAGGAACTAGCAGGCCAGGTCACCTGGCTATAGTGCGGGAAGTGGGCACGGGATAGGGGCATTGAGGGGTCTGGTAATAGCAATGCCAGCTTCTACTCATTGGTGCTTACTGTGCGCCTGGCACTGCTAAGTGCTTTACGTGCATCTTCTCATTTCATTCTCACAACGGTCCCATGAAGCAGGGACTATTCTTGTTTTCTAAATAAGGAAACTGAGGCTCAAGAAGGTTAGGTAAGCTACCTAGGGTCACATGGCCAATAAGTGATGAAGCCAGGACTAGAACCCAACCTGTTCAACTCCAAAGTTATGCGCTTCTCAATGTCGTACTATACTGCGTCCCCCACATGGAAACTCTTGGTTCCATTGTAACAGAATAACATATAGCCCCAGCTGGACACTTCTAGTAACAAAGCAAAGCATGTGCATAGCTTAATCTGAATTCAACACCATTTCTGAAAGCCAGCTCTGAGGGGATGTCCCCATCAGAGTGGACAAGTAGTGTTAATTTTATACATAGATGGTATATCGAAAAGGCATTTCATCTGATCATAAAATTCTTTTCCTAAAGGACAAAAAAAGTTACTTTCCAAGATGGAGCATTTTGGTAATAACAGAGTTCAGTCAGGATAGTTGAGGTGACAAGGAAGTCCATGGGGTGACCGAAGGAGGGGTGGCCAAAGTGGTAGGAAGATGAGGATCGCTGAAGGCGAGGTCCAGAAATCGGTTGTGGGAGAGGTTGTCTTTATAGGGGCCGAAGTTACCTACAATGATGCTGAGGCTGGGAGAGGGGGAGCCACCAGGTGTCACAGTCTTCGGTGAATGTGAAAGAAGTAGCCAGGAGATCAGTAAGTAGATGACAGCAGGACAAGGAATGTGGTTCAGTGACGTGAGCCCCAAGTGAGCGCTTTTGGCATGAGTGAAGGAGGCAGGGTCTGGGAACAAAGACAGGGAACTAGACACATGTCACCATCACTCTGCTTCCCACCCTGGGACTTCTGTGATGTGGGGAAATGAGCAGCCCCCTCTTGGGAGCTTCTCAGGGGAGAGATCAGTTAAAGCAAAGAAGCAGGAGAACACTAAAAAAAGGTCAAGGGCAGGGGAGTGTGTTTATTATGTCCAGAGGGCACAGGTTGGGAGGGAATGTAAATACGAAATTGAGTCTGTCCCAAATGCCTGCTTCCTTCCAAGCAAAATAAACCGCAAATATGTGAACGGGGTATCATGATTCTATGGCATGTGAATATCCATTCTAAGACCATGAAACAAGAAGAACCCTATGGCAGCCATTCTTTGGCATCATCTTCGCCAGGAACATAAAACACACGGTTTACACTTAAGACACTGGTTACTTTGACTTGGACATTTATTTCCTGGCGCTTAAATCACCCCATCCCACCTTCTATTTCCTGCCAGGCTCAGAGCCCCTTCCTTCCCCACTGTGGAGGAGTAGATGTGCATTTCTCAGGAGCCGCAGACTGCTTCCGGCAGATAGTGAAGACCCAAGGAGTACTGGGGCTCTGGAATGGACTGACAGCCAACTTACTGAAGGTGAGAGGAGTGGTCGGTCTCTACTTCTTCTCTGCCTCTCTTAATTCTACCCTCTTCCCTTGTGCCCCCCCAACCCTGCTACAGTTTGCATGAAAAACCTCCTCTTGCACTGATGGCAGCACAAGGCCTGTGAATGCAGGCTGGCTGTCAGCCCTGAAGAGAGGGAACCCTGTGCAGTGGTGGGATATCTTATACCCCATCCCAGAAGAGCTGAGCATTTAGCGTAGAGATTCCTAATGTGGGGGTTCATGGACCCCTAAGGGGAACCTAACCCCCATCCTAAAATTATATGCAAAAATGTATGTGTGTGTACATACGTGCGTCATATTCCCAAATAACTCCAAGACCAAAAAAAGGGTTAAGAACTCTGGACTAACCTCGTACTAGCTGGCATGTGAATTATTTCAGTCAGGGCCAGCATGTATGGACAAGCAGTGGTGTCTAATTGTCTACATGCATGTGAATCCAGACCCAGCGCTTCCCCAGGGCATGCTCTTCTGTCGCTCTGTCATTCCTACCAGCCCCCCGCCCACACCATGCCAGCTTTCCTTTTGTTATCTTCCCTGATTCCAAAGAGTTACCATGTTGTATTTTGCACAGCCGTTGTCTCAGTTTACCCTGATCCAAGTTGATTGCAGACACATTGACGTTTTCTTTTTAAGAGTTTAACATAATTTTCATTTTATGTTTTAACAGATAGTTCCATATTTTGGAGTTATGTTTAGCACCTTTGAATTCTGCAAGAGAATCTGTCTTTACCAAAATGGTTACACTGTGTCTCCTCTGAGCTATAAATTGACGCCAGGGGTGGATCAGAGTTTGCAGCCCCAGGAATTGCGGGAATTAAAGAAGTTCTTCAAAACTGGAAAACTGAAGTCTAAAAAACCAACTCTGTGAAACTGCATGGAACTGGAAGCGCACCAACTGAAGGCATGTTGCAATCACAGATAAACGCGGCCTCTTAATTGTGCACATGAGGAGCGATGAGAGGCTACTCCTGTCTGCTGCCCTTGGAAATGAGACAGTTTGACCATTCACCCCCTGAAAGCTCCAAACTGATGTCCCTGTGAACACCTGCACCACGAGGTTTCCCAACACTACTGTGTCATGATAGCATTCCACCAGATTTTATAATCAAAACCTAGTAGTGACAAAATGTGCGATTTACACTCTGAATAGAAACACGACACCCAAGAAAGGGCATGGCCGCGACATCTCAAAGCAACATGTAGTTGAAGTGGCTGAGCAGATACCACATCGTGAGCTCAGCCACAGGGTCACTCGTAGTCAATGCGAAGCTCACACGGCCCAACGTCAGCCTAGTTTCACTCAGTTTGACCTGAAGCTTCCTACTACCACTGTTCTTAACTCATAACCTTTGCTGACTTCTGAGTGTACACACCACAGTGTTAATTATGCCTTGTCAGAAACTAAGTGAAAGTGTTTAACATTTAAAAGTTGTCACTATGGTAGTACAACCATCCTTCTTTACTGAAATTTGAAGCATCCCAAGCTTAGAAACTTCTGTTTCAGAAAGGCAGTTTTTACCATGACTGCTTAATTATGTCCCCAAAGGCATTCTTTGGATTGAAGTCATGTACAGTTCAAATGGCCCGAATTCTCTGCCTTTTTAACTTGCTTTACAAGCCTACCTTGAAAATAAGTTATTTAGTCAACTTAAGTTATTCTCACAAGATGTCCCAGTTGCCTAGAGAGGACCAAATGGAACATTTGACACATGCACCCAAAAAAATGTAACTGAATAAAAACACTCTAGGCTAATAATGTGTACTAAATTTTTTAAAAATCAAATTTAAAATTCTATGTAAAGTTTATATAACTATACCTTTTGAATAGTGCCTATCTGTGCATTTAAAAATGCATTAATATCTAATATTAAGTTAAAGTTTTAATTATGTTGCAAATATTTTTTTCCTATTTTATTTTCCAAAGAAAAATGATGTATTGGCCGGGCGTGGTGGCTCACACCTATAATCCTAGCACTTTGGGAGGCCAAAGCGGGAGGATCGCTTGAGCTCAGGAGTTCAAGACCAGCCTGAGCAAGAGCGAGACCCTGTGTCTACTAAAAATAGAAAAATTAGCCAGGTGTCGTGGTGACCACCTGTATTTCCAGCTACTCGGGAGGCTGAGGCAGGAGGATCACTTGAGCCCAGGAGTTTGAGGTTGCTGTGAGATAGGCTGATGCCACGGCACTCTAGCCTGGGCTGCAGAGTGAGACTTTGTCTCAAAAAAAAAAAAAAAAGAAAGAAAAGAAAAATGATGTATTGGTCATTTATCACTAATCTGAGTTATAAAACTATGGGTAAATACATACTTGCCAAATCTTTAAACTCTCAGAACCTTGTCCTATTTAAAAATACCAGAATAACTCATTTTCCAACTGCTGTGGCAGACTGTTTTATGGGGAATGGCAGTTAAATGCTCACATGAAAATCTCATCTGTAGCCCAATCTGCTAGAGTGTGGGGGGTGGAAAATTCTTTACCCAGAATGAATAGTTCATGTTTGTTACTCTTTATTTTCCTTGAAACAAAGAACTTTTCAAAAAGTTCTGAAAGCTGCAAAACAATTTTTTCTTTATTTTTTACTAAATCTAAAATCCTCACCTTAGGTTATTTACATCATAGTAATATCTTCTGTGTATTAGACAAGTATTATGAAACAGATAGCTAAGCTCTTGCTATTGTCACCCAGGAATGTTTTCTGAGCTGCGGGTTTGATTTTTTTCAATAAATTAAGTAGGCAAAAGAATATACCTCATTTTTCTAATTTCAGAACAACTCTAAAACTCTAGTTCTGTTTCTAAAATAAACTTACAGCTATTTTCATTTTGTTAGTGGTATGAAGGGTATGAATGCCTTTCTGCTTTATGGCTGGCAGTGAGCGCCACACTGAACTAAATACTTTAGGAAGATAATAAAGAAGTGTGATGCAATGTTGACCTAGGGGTAACTTATGGTTTTAAGGAATGAAACATACCTACATACATGAAATGACTATGATTATAAAGCAAATACAAGCAAAGGCGTGATAATTTAGTATCAACTATATACAAGATTGCCAAGGAGCTCAACGTATACTTACTGAAAAAAGGATTAAAGGGATCATCATAGGAGAGAGGGATTAGTACAAGCAGGGGTTTGGGGAGGTAGTGAGTGTCGAACTAAGTTTTGAAGGAAGGGAGGGTATACTAATTGGTCAAGAACAGGTTGGAAGGCATTGCAAGTTGAAGGCAGGGCATATGCAGCGTCACAGATGGAAGCGAGCAAAAGATGTTTGGGATAGTGTGAGATGGGCTTTGTGCATTTATTCAACAGCTGCTAGGTGCTACAGACACAGTGACGAAAACACAGATAAGGTCCTTACCCTCATGGAGCTGATGATCTAGTGAGGGTGGCAGTCAACAAACAAACTAATCAATAAGTTAGGTTAAGTACACACTGTAATGTTATGAGGGTGCTTATAAACAGGTGCTTCATTAGAAAATTATGTGGGGGCGAGGGGAATATTTTAGATCAGGGAGCCAGGGAAGGCCACTCTGAGAGGCGAAATTTGAGATGAGATCTGAAAGAAGAACATAATGAGCCAAGCCATGCAAAGAACTAGGGGGAAGAACATTCCTGGCAAAGGGAAGAACGAGTGCGGAAGTCTGGTAGCGAGTGAGAGAGTGGGATGAAATGAGGTTGGCCAGATCTTACGTGGCCTTGTGGGCCAGAATGAGAAGTTAGATTTTATTCTAAATGCGATGGGAAGGCATTGAAGGTTTTGAAGCAAAAAAGATGATGAACTCTGACGTTCATTTTTAAAAGATCACTGTGGTTGAGAATGGAGAATGGATTGGAAGGAAGCAAGACTGTGAGTGGGAAAACCAGTTAAGAGGCTATTCCAGAAATCTAAGCAAGAAAGGATGGCGTGGACTGGAATGGTGGCAGTAAAGATGGAGAGGAGGGAATGAGCTCAAGACATATTTTGGAGGTGGATTCAGGATTTGCTGAGCAATTTGAATGTAGGGCATAAAAGGAAGAAATCAAGGATGTCATCTAGGTTTTTGGCTTTTGACTTGAGTAACAAGGTAGGTGATGTTGCTGATGTGGGGTAGACTGGAGAGGGCCAGGGTGTTGTGGGGGAAGGAATTAAAAGTTCTGATTTCGACATGTTCAATTCCAACCACCCATAAGACATCCAAGTAAAGAAGTCAAGTAGACAGTTGGCTGGAGCACAGGCTGTCCGTGTGATTGTCCAAACCAGTTGTGGTAGGCAGAATAATGGCGCCTCTAGGTGTCCACACCCTAGTCCCCAGAATGTGTGAATACATTACCTTACATGACAAAAGAGACTTTGCAGATGTGATTACTGTTACAGACATTGAGATGGAGAGATTATCCTGGATTATCCGGGTAGGCCCATTCTAATCACAGGAGTCATTAAAAGTGGAAAAGAAAGGCAGAAGAGTAAGTCAGAGAGATGCAAGGATGGAAGAAGGGGCAGGAGAAATGAGGCCTGAGAAGGACTTGACTCACCATTGCTGGCTTTGAAGACAAAGGTGCTGGGGGAGCCAAGGAATGGGGGTGGCCTCTAGAAGCTGGAATGAGCCTCAGCTGACAGCCAGCAAGGAAATGGGACCTCAGTCTTATACCACAAGGAACTGGATTTAGCCAACAACCTGAACGAACAAGGAAACGGAGTCTCCCCTAGAGCCTCCAGGAAGGAACGTGGCCCTGCCAACACCTTGATTTTGGCCCAGTGAGACCCATGTCCGACTTGTGATCTACAGAACTATATGATGATAAATTTGCGTTATTTAAACCACTGAGTTTGTGGTAATTTGTTATGGCAGCAATGGGGAATTAATATACCAGAACACCATCGATAATTATTTCAGGATAATAGGGACAAGTCTGGAGTTCAGGGAAGAGTGATGACTGGAGATAGAAATTTGGGTGTCATCAGCAGAGAGATGGCATTTGAAGCCAAGGGACTGAATGAGACCACCAACGGAATGGATGGGAAGAAACTTCTGGGGGAGGGGGAAGCAACAAAAATAACATTGAGGAGACGGTGGCTAAAGAAAGGCCTCAAGATGGGACTTGAACCCAGGCACGCTGACTTGAAACCCTGGCACAAGCCACTATAATACAGGTGCCTCTAATCTAATCACAGATACGCTAAGGAGGGAAAAAACAAGTGTAACAACAATAGAAAATTGGAGAAAGAAGGGCTAGAAATAGGGAAAGTAGTCTAGTAGTAGAAACCAAAAATACATTCTTCAGTCATTTGCACCTCTCCCTTTTGTTGTTGTTGCTAGCCAAAAATAAAAGTAACATCCAAAACTAGTTGATATAATAGGTGCATTTGACAGCTGTTATTTATGCACCGAAATGTTGCAATGGGATGACGGAAACACAGGGGTGTGTGTTTGACATAAAAGAAAGTACATACAGCTGGAATAGTCATCAGAAAATAAATATGACATATTAGGTCCTGAAATAAATATTTTTTGCTCACATTTCTAAAAGGAACCTTGAAATAAAATTTCAGGTATACATTATGTTTCCTTTGAAATCAGAAGTTGTTATACACCTTTATCAAATATGAATCTCTGATCCATCTTCAGTTGACTCACCTGGGGATCCTGGGTGTTATGCCAAACTTCCTGAAGAAAATATGTGTATACACACACATATATATATAAATTTTTTTCCCATAAAGTGATTTAGTCTTATGCAGATTAAAGTTGGAGATCAACAGAGCAAAATATATATGTACAGGTTTTGAAGATAGTCACAGCTTGGAAAATGTATTAAAGTGTATCAAATATTGCTAATATGGCTTTTTAAAATGGAGTTAAACTTATATATGTACAATTGCAATGAAATGGTAAGAAACCACTTCCATTTTCCTTCCTACATGTGTATAAAAAAATAAAAACATTTGATCTAAAAAAAAAAGCAAGGTCTCAAGATGTGGAGGAACTGGAACTCTTATAGCCTACTGTTGGGAATGTAAAATGGTGCAATCACTCTGGAAAAAACATTGGCAGTTCCTCAAATGGTTCAACATAGAGTTACCATATGCCCCAACAATTCCACTCCTAGGTATATACCCCAGAAATGAAAACATATGTCCACACAAAAACTTATATACTGTCATTCATAATAGGCAAAAAGTGAAAATGATCCAAATGTCCACCAACTGATGAGTAGATAAATGAAATGTGGCATATCCATACAATGGAATATTACTTAGCAATAGAAAGGAATTAACTATTGATATATACAACAACATGGATGAATCTCAAAAAATAATATGCCAAGTGAGAGAAACCAGACCAAAAAAAAGGGGTGCATACTGTATGGTTCCATTTGTAGAAAATTCTAGGAAATGCAAACTAATCTATAGTGACAGAAAGTAGATCAAAGGTTGCTTGGGAATGGAGAGATGACAAAGGGACACAAGAAAATCTGGGATGGTGATGGATACATTCATTATCTTAATTGTGGTGATGGTTTCACGGGTGTATACATATGAAAAAAGCATATAAAATTGTGTACTTTATATACAGTTTTATTGTATGATAATTATACCTCAATAAGACTGTTTTGTTTGAAGCAGTTACCCCAGGGCTAACTGCATCAACTGCATTCTAAGCCTGCCAGAAATATTAATAAAATCCTTCCAACTATTGGGGGGAGGGGAAGAAAAAGGGGCTTCAAATGCTAAGCTGAGGAGTTCAGGTTTGATCCAATAAGCAAAGGGGAGTCACTAGTTTCTTGTGCAACACAGAGGATGTGATGAAA